GTCGATGAACTTTCTCACGTTTTATGGGCATAATGCACAATAACTCAATCCTCGACATACGAAACACCATACAATTTAGTCTATGGAATGGACGCTGTCCTCCCAGTCGAAATTGGCCTTGCAAGTCCTCGAACGATCAATTTTGTCGAAGACACCAACAATGAAGATATCCTGACTAACCTTGATCTGCTCGAGGAATGGCGGGATGCCATAAAAGTCCGGGAAGCCAAGTACAAAGAAATCCTCAGGAAAAACTATAATAAACGAGTCAAGAGCACTGACTTCGTAATCGGGGACTTAGTACTTAGAAAAAATGTCAAGCAAAACACCTGGAAAATTGGCAGCCAACTGGGAAGGGCCCTATCGAGTCATTCAGGTCTCTCCATCGGGCAGTTACCGATTGCAGACGACAGATGACACGGGAACCATCTTCCCTCGATGGTGGAACATTCAGAATCTACGCAGGTTCTATGTTTAGATTCCCTACATGTTATTTGCCATTTTACTTGCTAAGTGATTTGTTGCTTTCATTTATTTGTATGTAATGCTAACCTGGGTCCTTGGGTAATTATTAATAAAAGTCATTACATATTTTTTCTATACATTGCATATGTTGACACTATTTTATGGCTAGTCATCGAGATGGATACCCTCTATAGGGCCATCCTCGAATTGAGCCATGTATTCAACACCCGGAAACTTAAGCCGAGGAGCCCCCCTTGCACCTACCGTAGGTCGCGGTGTTGTTTAATCAAGGGATCCGTATCCGATTCCTCGATAGTGCCATGTACTTTACATTTGGCCAAACCAGCGCTATACAAACATACTTGAGGGCAAACAAATAACTGACGCTGATACAGCTCGGTGCAAATATAATGCCTCACACTTAGTATGGGGTTAGGAAAATGTATCAATATACACTTGATATATACCTAAATCTTGAGATCTGTCCCCTTAGGGTTGAATCGAGAAGGCTTAATAATGCCAAAACATCCCATCACCCTAAGCCTATGGAGACACTGACTAAGTTTATCTTTTAATCTAGAATCTCCCAATCTTGGTCGTTGATTCTAAGAAGATAACCTCAGCGGCTGCCCTTTCCTTCGCTTCGTCATTCAGATCGAGGTCCTTGAGAATGGGTAAGGAAATCTCGTTATCCACCAGTATGTTCTGCAGAACAGCAGCCTGCTTCAAGTAGAACTCCGCTTCTTTGGTCCTCTCTTTAGGAGGTCAATTGCAACGATAAAGCATTCTATACGAACCTTTATCTGTGCCTCGACTAGAGCAAGAGTGTCGAACATTTCGAGGAACCATGGGGACACGACAATATTCTCACGCTTCCTCAGTCGAGCATTTTCTTTGTTCAGCTTCTCCATCTCCTCATTAATATTCGCTTCTAGAGACAAGGAATCGTGAAAGTCCAAATCATATTGGTGGTGTCGACGCTTCCACTCTTCCTCTTGTTGTCTAAAGTGCGCACCAAGCGGGAGTGCGCTCGAAGGTTAAGTGCATTGACAGCATCGATAAGCTCTTTCTCGAGGGCTTTCACTATGTCAATGTTGTGAACATCCCTGAATTTCCTCAACATTGAAGAAACCATCGTATACATGGGGAACCTCGCGACCTCGTCTTCCTCGAGGATCAATAGACGTACTAGATGAACAAAATACAAATCCTGACATAATGGGCAGAAGTATATCAAATGTTAGAGGAAAAGAGGCACTGATCTAATTCATAATCGGCGAAAATTGTTCAAGAATCACTACAGCAAGCTAAGGTCTACAACCTTAGTGGCAAAAATCCTATTACAAGAAGAGAGTTCATACGTCATTCTAACTGGGAGGCTAGCTTGGCTGGCTCTCGTTTGTCTCTCAACAGGGGTCGGAGTCGACGTCTGTTCAATTTTAGGCTCCTGGTCATTCTTCCTGTCCCCCTCAACTTGCTCCGAGGAATCCTCTTCCCATTCCACCTCAACACCGATGAAGTTTGGGGCTAGTTTCGGCACGCGTACTTATTCTCCAGCATCAACTGGGAGCACTGTAAGGGCATCTCCTTCAAAAGAGGCAATCTCTGTAGATGAGCCCATCTGAGCCACAGCATTGCATAATGGCCTAAATAGTGGAAGTTGACCATCAGAGAGCTGCCGCAACCCATTCTTTATGGCCTCATGGAGAGTCTTCTTGGAATGCGGCCTAATGAATTCCTGAAGCCATCTAGCATTAATAGTCCTTCCACTCTTCATCCTCTCGAGAGCAGCCACTGCTACATCGTGTCCCCCCAGCGCCTTGGCATCGTTGCTAATGCCCACTAGGATGCTCGGTAATCCACCAGTCGGCACCATTCTCACCCAAAAGGCAGTTATCGACTCTCTATATTCTGTCAGCTTGGCCTCGATCTCCCTGTACATGGCCTGAACCGTGGCTAACTCCTTGTCCCTGGCAAGCCTCATGGCATCCTCCTCCTTTCTCGACTCCTCATGCGCTAACTTCTCTTGCTCGAGGAGCCCCTTTTCGAGTTGCAAACTGAGAATCTCTTGTTTTAATCTCTTCTCTTGCATAAGAATGCTGGCCATCGAGGTCGTCAACTACAAGGAATACATGGTAGATTTTCAGCGATTCCTCTTCCGTCAAGGACGCTGCAACTTCCTCAATGATGGGACTCTCGATCCTAGTGTCCCCAAAATGATATATGGCGGTGGCAGCAGTATATGTCAACGACCCATCGGTGTCTTCGACAGTGTTCTTCTTCTCCAGCGAAGCCTCGAGGGGTCTGAACAACTCTGGATGTTGCTCGGTTACAGGGATGGCCTCGGAAATTGGGTTCCCCTCGGTTTCCTTGGTAGTAGAGGGGGCAGCTTTCTAGAGATCAGCCGCGTTATCAATCCTACCTTCCTTCTCGACCGGGACTTCCTCCTCGGCTAGCTTTTTTGTCTCCTCGACGGTGGGTGGCTTCTTCTTCTTGGACTATGCGCCTGCGTTGGATGCCTTTACAAGTCTTCTTAGTTTCCTCTACTTGGTAACTTTGTTCGACGACCCCTTATCATCTGAATTTTTAATTTAAAAAATCTGGATGTCAGCAAACAATCCAATGGTATCTTTGCTCGATGACATGACCTAAAACAAAGAAAATGCACATAATGAGTTAGTACCTTTTTTCTCCTCGACGCGGATAGGGGGAATGTATTGTTGGACTTTGGTGTAGTTGATGATGGCCTCGAAAGATTCCAAAGCGTTAATATCGGCTTTGTACTTCTCAATTTTCTGTTTGTCAGCACTGGTCCAAGTATCTACTATGACACCTAGTTCATGGGTTTCACGGTAATCCCACACCACGCAAAACTCTTTTGGTGCTTCCACAAATAAGTAGTTTGGCTTCCATACCGGGGAACCATCAAAGAGTTCTACTATGTGATTTGCTTTCGACGTTACGTTGGTTGTTACATTATACCATTCTTTGTACTTAGTCGAGGGAACGTAGACTTTAAAGAAATACCTCCACACTATTAGTCGAGGCGTGATGTTTTGCAATTCACATAGCCTCGCAAAACCAAGGACCGCTGTGACTATGTTTGGGGTGAATCGAGCAAGTGAAATCTTATAGTGCTGAACTATTTTGCCAAACAAAGGGTAAAAGGGGAATCTTAATCCTAGAAACATGAATCTAGCATACACAGTAATTTTTCCCTCTGGTGGAGTATCAGCCCGTTCATAATCCAGTGGTGCTCGATATTCTAGATCTATGGGGAAGTTAAAGTGCTTGGTGATTTCTTTAGCCTTGGCTTCAGAGTTTATGGTTGATACAAACCCAGATACTGTCTGAGCGGCCATATCTACCCCAATATATATGCAAATCTAACAAGATTCAGACAAAGCAAAGGGCATATGTGGGTATTAAAAATACAAGAGGATTGGAAGACTCACTTCTTCGGTCGGAGTTTAACGTACGGCGCTGGGATAATGCTTTCCTGATGGTCGGTGTTGTAAGCGTCTTCAGTGAGGATGGAGGATTTCTGTCTTTCAATGCGCCAGGGCAGAAGAGGAGTATGTAGTTCTTGGTTGTAATTTTGAAAAAGAGACGAATGGCCAAAATCTCCAGTCCTTTCCTAATATAAAAATAAATTTTTTCCTTTCTCTCTCCCACGACCTAACGATTCGGGCAAAGTTCAAGGAGCCATTATGATTGCCCAGCTGTCGTTTGGGAATCGTGCGCACTGATGGGGAACGCCTGCCAGGATTTGGGCTGGATTCTGAAGCGGGTTGTGTTCCCGGGTCGGGTTTTGACCCGCGAGTTAGGCCAACAAGCCTGCTTATGGCACTTTGGGTTGTTGGCTATGCAATTAATTTGGGTCGGTCTAGGTTAGATTTTTTTTTCAAGTTTTGTTTATTTTATATAACTAATACTTGACAGGGGCACTTGACGAGTTCATATCCACCCTCGGTATTGGACCGACCCAAGAACCGTGTAAGGGGCCCGACCAACTCCAGTAGGGTGTCAATGTTACTTGACCCTAGTAGGATCTGGTTCCCTGATTGTATCTATTTGCCTATAAATAGGGATACAAGTTCCACAATTAAGGTACGTTATCTTAGTTACCAATCAATACACACAAGCAATTCCGATTTACTAACTTAAACATCGGAGTGTCTACCCTCGGGGAGACACCCGAGGTTCTTTCTTGCAGGAATCCCCAGTCAAGGTTCCGCAGCCGAGCCAAGGATACAAATCCAGGCATCGTCAGGAAGGTTGTATAACATAAACTATATTGAACCATCTGTTTTTCTGCTTAGCATTCTTTTTTTTTTTTAAGTATCAGCAGAGTAGAAATTGACATCATATATTTTGAGGAGCAGTTTTTGTTTCTTGCCAATATTGCTGCTTCTAGAATAGGTTTACCGGGGAATATCTTTTCTGGTTTGAGTCGAACAAAGTGTAGCATTAGTTTAACATGTTCGTTTGTCTGATTTTAACATTTGAAGTTGGAGAGTTGAACCCTACTTGCAATGGATAAGTATGAGAAGCTCGAAAAAGTAGGAAAAGGGACTTACGAGAATGTGTACAAGGCCAAGGACAAGGTTACGGGTCAACTGGTGGCCCTCAAGAAAACAAGGCTGGAGATGGATGAAGAGGGCCCTCCGCGAAGTGTCCCTCCTCCAAATGCTTCCCTAGTTGCTGTATGTTGTATGCCTGCTTTTTTTTAGCATATTGTTGACGGAAGCAAGAAAGATGGCAATGGAAAACCCCTACTTTACCTTGTTTTTGAGTACCTCGATACTCACCTCAAGAAGTTCATTGACTCCCACCGTAAGGGTCCCAACCCCCGCCCCCTACCCCCAGCCCAAATTCAGAGCTTCCTCTTCCAGCTCTGCAAGGGTGTTGCACATTGTCATAGCCACGGAGTACGTCACCGAGATCTCAAGCCTCAGAACCTTCTTGTTGACAAGAATAAAGGAATCTTAAAGATTGCTCATCTTGGATTAGGCAGAGCTTTCACTGTCCCTCTCAAGAGCTATACTCATGAGGTTAGTTCTTGACGTCATTCGCTCCTGATTACTATTTTCTTTCTGTAAAACGTGTAAAGTTCTTTCTATTACATTCCTTCAAAAGCCAAACATGACATTATATATGGCTTTTAGATTGTCACCCTGTGGTACAGAGCTCCAGAGGTTCTCTTGGGATCTACCCATTATTCTACCGGTGTTGATATGTGGTCTGTCGGTTGCATTTTTGGTAATGCTCCCTCCCTTTTGTTCCAGTTGCTTGAATTAATCAATGCTATTTTGTGCTGATACATCTCCTCTTAGCGTAGTTTTCATCTTTTTGTTGTGTATTTGTGCATTTGTTGGCATGGCTTCCTTGTTTACTGATCTGATATCTGGGTTTCTTGGCAGCTGAGATGGCAAGAAGGCAAGCTTTATTTCCAGGGGATTCTGAGTTCCAACAACTGCTCCACATATTTAGGTAGACTGCTTCTTGAAATCTACTGAGTTCAGGTCTTGTTGCAAATTATATTTATCAGGTCTATTGGGATATATGATTGTGTTTCTATGATTTATCAGGTCTTATTACCAGTAATATTGGCTAAGCTTACTAATCTCTTGAGTCTTCATAGTCCAATCTTAGCAAAATATGGGAACGTGATTCACTGAAAAATTGGATTGTACTGTTTGAAATGAATCTTGATTAACCCAGATGGGCATGATTTGGACACCACATAGTGTGATAAATGCTTCTTCTTCTTCCAAATTTCTCCTTTCACTAGATACTCCTGTGACTATTGCATCAGACATGCTTTAAGTTTGTGAATACTCAGAAGCTTAACATAGCACAGTTCAACCTCATCATTAGTTGTTCCGGCATGAGTAAATCAGCTTTTCGCATGCTGAAATTAAATTACATGTTGCAGGAATCAAATGGAGACAAACTGCTCATTTTACTGAATGAAAGTAATGTTAAATGAACTTCCATAGCCCTGAAATCTTCTCTCTGTTTGAATATTTTGTTGGTTAAGGTTGCTGGGTACACCAAGTGAGAAGCAGTGGCCGGTTGTGTTTTCACTGCGAGATTGGCATGTGTATTCTCAATGGGAGCCGCAGGACTTGGCACGACATGTTCCATCATTGGGTCAAGATGGTCTTGACCTTCTATCTGTGAGTTCCAGGGCTTAACTCTTCTTTTTTTGTTTTGGAATTTCTTTTGTGCTGATATGACCATGTCCACAATTAAAGTTGGCTAGTCCTAAACTCAGTTCTTGGTCATTTATTCGTTCATGTTTCCTTTCTAATGCAGCAAATGCTTAGATACGATCCGGCTGAGAGAATATCAGCTATGTTACCCAGACTATTCTATTTGGGGAGAATACCCGTGTCGTGTCGCGTCGACACTGGTGCGGGTATGAGTATCGGGTGTGGCATTTTAGTCTAAAATGTCCAAGATTTCTAAAATATTAACGAGTCGGACACTCAGATCCTGGCACCCGATACGACACCCGTATCCGACTCTAGGTAACATAGAATATCAGCAAAAGCTGCGCTAGATCATCCCTACTTCGACAGCTTGGATAAATCACAATACTGAGAGCTTTTGGGCTTTTCCTTAAAATTCAGTAGCCTTTTCATGGCTTCCCCTCACATATCAGTTGGATCTTTAACAACAAGCAGCTTATGGACTTCCGTTTGGCTAATTACAAATCAAACGATGTTGTCATTATCTTGGTGATTGATGCCAATTCAGTCAGGGTTACGACTTTGTATGGAATGTTTTGCTCATCAACTCTTTGTTTGTACTCAAATGTCGTTTAGTTACTTACTAAAACCATGATAATGTGCTGTTTTGTGAAAGAAAAATCACCGTGTCATTGTATTCTTGTCTTCATTTGACTCTTGCCTGACCTGATTTGCCATGTTGGATGAAGCATACCATGTTTCCAAAAGCACATAAAGTTACGATTGCACAAAGCTTATAGTAGTCGTGAAAAACAGTCAGATAGTACAGTAACATGATCTAGTTAGTTCAGCTGCGTTTGTGTTGTGTCTTTTTGATTTCATTATGAGTGAAATTTGCCGGTTTCTATGTAGTATAGAAGTATAGTGATATAATTGAGACTAATAACTAATAAGTTTACATTACATGTAGTTAGATCAAGGTTGGAATATATTTTGTTTTAATACTAAGTGTGAGGGATCTAAATAGGATAGATTCACGATAAACTGAAGGCAAGGACTTAGAAACAGTCGTTCTGCTGCAAAATTGTATACCTATACAACCTATCTTTTATAGTAAAATGACAGACTAATCTATTCATTTTCTCATCATGCCATACATAATAGGAACAATAAGGCACTACATATACAAACAGACTTCTTCCAAGGCTCGAAATCTAACATTCTGGACCCAATCGAACATGCGGATCAAACTCGGAATCAAACATGTCCTAAATCTGACATAACCTGAATGGCTTTCAGTTAATTTGAAGATCGAGATAAAAACTTGACCAGAAGATCTATTCTTCGCCATTTAGAATCGAAGCTGCAATTTTCTTCAATGCTCCTGCTGCTCTTGCTAATTCTGATTCTGAATGACCAGCAGAAATGAACAATCTTATGCCCACAGGGAGGTTGCAGTTATCAAGTCTTGATCTTTTGGAAGTTACAACAAAAACAGATTCTTTTTCAGGACCTGAAGACATATGTATCCTCAAACTTAAGAAAATGGAAAAGAAACTATAGTGTGAATGATGGAGCATGACCACACACATGAATGATTTGGAGGGTGAGGCTGTAACCAAGCACTTACACGATCAGCAGTAACTTGGAGCAGCTGAAGGTCATCTTTTGATTATCCGGTTGATTTCTTTGACCGGAGAAAAAGAATGGGAGATTCTGGATCACTCACTATTTGAAGTCCTTGAATTCCAGATAACCCTGAAAGCATAATTCTAAACACAATAAAATGTACGCCTAATAAATGAAAATTTAGCACTACTTTCCATAGGAAAGCAATATTTGCCTTGAGCTTTGTGATAAGGTCAGGATTTTCTTCAATGACATCGATTGCAGTAATAGTAGCACTTGCTAGGTAAGGGGGGTAATGACGCAGAAAAAACATATCCAGAACTGCTAAGCCTCTGCGAAACAAAATACAGGTAAGGATTAGCAAAAGACCTACTCATTCCAAGAAAATCAGTCATATCAACAAACAGGATTGGGGATAAGCTTCATGAAGGGATACTGTATCGTAGAATCGACAAGAAGTTCCCATACTTGGTGATGAATAACTCTTGCACTACCAGTGCAGAATCCTCCCTCTGTAGCCAATGCAGGTCCCATAGCAGCCGTAATGATATCAATCTTGTCAACCTACAAATGGACACAATAATAAAATCATATAACAAATTCGGAAAATCTTACTAAATTCGGAAAACCTTGTAGCGCTCAGTTAATCCTCCACCAGAACTGCCGAGCAGACCCAAAGAATTGCTCTCATCCAGTAAGACAAGGAAACGTTACTTCTCCGTCAGCCAAACAATTTCATCCAAGGGTGCGATCTGTCCAAAATTCTGAATATATTGTCTGCACAATTTTTGCCTTAGACGAATTATACAAAATACATTAAACGATTGTGCGTTGTTCTTTATAACTATGGTAAAATAAATCAATAAGTAGAATTTTTCCGGAAAAGAACAAAATCAGCCGAAGGCCAGATTTTATTATGATCGTTGAAGAACAAGTACAGCCGCCGATAATCGGCCTAATTCAAGGAATTACTGATGAACCCTAATTTTAGAGATTAAATCGGAAATAAAAGACTAAAAAGTAAAATAAAAAATTTGATACTAAGTTGATTGTGTCCTTCCTCCTACCGCTGATCTCTTTAAATAGTCCTTGAATCTCAGTCGGTTCACAATTCTAAACCAATACACATTAGGCTTGCTTCTCCAAATTGGACTCTGAACGTCCTCAAAACCTATTCCGTGGCCCATTATTTTAGTCTGATTGGGCCCAACAAATCTCCAAGCCTAGCCGGAAAAAACTGGGCCAACATAATACCCCCGGAGAAAAATTGTGAAATGTGCTGAACAATTTTTCTAATCTTTCCGGGCAAAATTCAAATATATAATCCTTCCTTTACTAAAACACATTCCCTCTGTTAATGGCTGATATTTTCATCGCCATAGAAGTGGGACTTTAATGTCATCCAAATTCTTAACTGATTGGAGAATATCAATCTGTTCAATTCTTCACCTGAGGCGTATTAATAAGCTATCTCATCTCTTTTCCAAAGCACCATCATTCGTTTATCGACTTCCCCAATCGCCTTTCTCTTTCTTCTCTGCCGTTTTAGTTTCTTTGCTCCTTTTCCAGCGACTTTCTGTTCAACTCCTCCATGGCTACTGCAAGGGATTACTCTGCTATTCCCGCTAAAAAATGAGCTATTCATGATGCTGAAGCCTCGTTGCTGGTGCCCAATTTCCCGGATACTATCTCTCCGGTTAACCCAAAAATCCGGTCCTATCGACTAGGGCCCAGCTTTGACAAAGCTCCGACGGCGCTCTTTTGGTTTGTTCCGGTGTGTCAACCCCCCCAGCCCTTCTCATCAATTTCTCAATTCCGGCAGTTGTCAAAGTGTTCAGAAACACCGCAGTTGGCCTTGGTCCCAAAAAATAAAAACACATTCGGGTTGGATAAACTGGTGTGAATATCTAGAACCGGAGTTTGGCCAGATCTGGCGAGATGCCGGGATCTATGATTTGATCTAGTTTTGCAAAATCGGAGTTCCCTTTGACCCGGTTGTATGCAGCCCAAATTATGGTCATCCACTTCCAATGTCCTTTGCCTCCCGTGGTGAATGTTGACACCAACACTTTTTGGATGATTGCTTGATTACTAGTTTACCATCGGCCATTCCTGTGGCGGTTGATATCAATATGGAGCACCCAAAAGCAGCAGACCTAGCAACCAACCGGGAGAATCAATTTGGACGAATAATGGATTCAGTCCGAGACACCAATTCAGCTAACCAACACAAAACCTTCCTGGCCTATTGGCTAAACAAGTATGTGTTCTGTTCCAAATTCTTGCAAATGACTATGAATTTTTATCACTTACCTTGTGTACTTGCAACCAGTAAGAAAATAGATTTGGCATTGGCTCTATTGGGTAGTTTTTTATAGAAGTATGTATGAATTAAGACATCACCCTGAACGTACTTTGAGTGGTCCTTTGTGGTTGTTGGTTCTGTGGCTTGAGATGTACTTCCCTGCCATTAGATTTGGTTATTCAGACATAGCAGGGCTCGGCCAACCTTGTGTAAAATCATTACTTCTTTAGACGAGAACAAGATCTCTGTTGATGATGTTGTAGCCATCCTTCTAGAAGTTGAGCCCGATATTTTTGCAGTCCATTGATTGCTTGATGTCGATTGCTACCACCCTAGCTTTGGGATCACATATGAAGGCGAAGCTCGGTTTGGTCACTGGGATCAGTCTGGCACGATTGGTATGAGCGCTATCTAGGGGTATTTCCTGGCCAATCATGATTTGCACTTTGGGTTTCAGCCGCAGGAAGCTGCCGGCAAGAGAAGAGCCATGGAAACTTTTTCCGAATTCTATCTGGCTAACATGGTGGCCCGACAATTTGGTCTGATGCAAATCGTCCCCAGTTTTGAGTTCATTTGCTGGAACAATTGGAGGATTGGCAGGTTCCACACTGCCCCATCTGCAATCGCCGCCCGGGTCAACCTCATGAATTTGCTGATGCAGGATGCCTCCATTGTGCCGTTTACTCCAAGGCCAATTTGTACCGCAACTTTCAGACAGTGGTGGCAGCAAACATTTCTGATCATCATGCCAGGATCTCCTGATCATTTCAGACGGCAACTGACTGTAGCCAACACTATTATCCCAATTGTTTCCAAAAGCGTGGTCCTCTAACAGATGATGGTAGCACCTTTTCCAACTGCCTCTCCTTAATCACTCTATAATCTGCCCATTTTACTTAATTGTTATTGTTTTTGTTACTGTAGATCCAGTGAAAGAAAGGGCTTTTCGCAAGGATCAGACGCCACCTCCTAGGCTCCCTTTTGCTGCAACCAGATAGTTTGCAAGGCTATCATCCAGACCCTGAAACATAAAACAGGTTTTTGTCAAACAATACAGGGTTAACTTCTT